ATGTGCAAAGATGTGCAGAGAACCTCAGTTAGCCCAAGACATGTGCAAAGGTGTGCAGAGAACCTCAGCCAGTCCCAGAGATAGAAATCATTGGTTTGATTAAATTATCTCACATCATGCATTTATTTAAGCATCTGTATTCACTAAAAACATTTCCAGTGAAGTAATTACTGAGAAATTATTGAACCATGTTATTAATGTAACAACAATAGCTTGCCCACGCATGATTATTTTGAAACAGACGTAATATACATGTAGGTATCAAATTTGTAATGCAAAAATAAAAAAAATTGCATTAATGGTTTCTAGATTTTTTATGAATTTGGATTGAAACCTGAAGAAAAATATGTTGCATCAAATTGGTTGGACAAACTATTGCATTCAATATAAGTATGTACAATAGCGTGGGTAATGACATCACTAAACATTGCATTATGGGAATAATTATTCATAAAGATGTGCAATTGGAACAAACAAATGAGTAAACAAAAAGACAACGGCAACATTAATAATTGTTGTGGTGTTGAAATAATTTCTTCCGGAATTATTTTAGACAACAAACTTTCTTGGGATTCATAACAACGCAATGAAATTGACGACGAGGTAATGTGGTTGGGATTGAAGATGTCTTTATATTCCACACACATCTTCATGCCATACGTTCTATAATTATGTCTGTTCTATTTTTAGATCTTGTAGTATTTGCAAATGCCATTAGGTATGGTGATAACTAATCATGGGCACATGCAATAATTAAATCTTATTAAAATCATAGCACGCACACACACGTATACAAAAACAAGCACACATACGCATGCGCACACACATACGCATGCGCACACACATACACATACACACGCATAATTGTGAATGATTCACAATAATCAATGTATTTTGCAGCAAACAAAGAATATTGGTGCACTCCTTAACCACTCATACATATCTGAACTCAGCCCTACCTTAACACTCCCGTCAAAGGTCATCAAGTATATTCCACTAGAATGCTTGTTTAGTAATTTCTTCCACGTTTTCTTTAGATGTTCTGTTGGAGCTCGAAGAACTTTGTTCTCTTTCTGCTTAATATTGGTTACCACAGTAACTATAAAATCTAGTGATATGAAAAAAAATAAGTGACTCAACCTGGCAAAATGTTCTTGTTTGGGAGATAATGTACTATCACCCTGTGCCTGTCACTGTTTAATCATGAGAACCCAATTCTGTCAATTGGCTCATTAATATCGTCAGTTTATTGAAACACTACAAGAAGTAGGAAGTAAGATGTGGATTAATAGAGTCCTTGTAAAGAGAGCTACTTAACAGGCTTTAAATAGGTTTCACAATATGACATTTATGACTTTTTAGAGACAAGATTTTAACAAATTTAAGACCTATTTTTTGAAAAGACATTTACGCTCAGCTCAGAAAAGTCAAGCTCCGTGCTAAAGACAGCAGATACTTGTCAATATTGCACATTTTTGAAATTCCTCACATTTTTAAGACATTTTATGACTTCTGCAAAAAAATGTATATTGACTTTGTCGAAAAAAAAAATAAAAATAAAAAACAACAAGAAATGTTAAGACTCCTTAATTCTTATCCTTGACTTTGATGTTACACTTGCTGTAAACAGGTTCTCACTCACATAAGCACAGTTTTAGTTCACCATACTGAAATGCAGTGATCGAACTTTCAAAAAACAATAGAGGATTTTATTGTTACACAATACAAATGTACATCAATTGCATTGTTATGCAAATTGTCATATTGTAATATTAAGCACTTCATATTATTATACAAATTTGTATTGTATTATTATGCAAATTGAACAGTTATTTGGTGAGAGTGCTGTATCGGTGCTCACAAATAAAATATTGTGGAAACAATTTTGTATTGCTTTCTTATCAACTCAGAAATCAGTTAACGCATGAATGATAATCACCAGTCCAGGGTTCAAATCTGTACATTCAAATTAAACAGCATCAAGTTTCTCCTTCCAACACTTCTTTTGAACACGTGCCAAAAGTTTGTGTAAATATTAGCCTTTCAATTTCTGTTCAATTTCAGTGTTTTTTTATGATAGAAAAATTCATATAGATGACAAGGGTGAGGGTCTTACCATTTGGACTAGACTCAATATCTTGCACAAACAATGAATTAAGTAACAACTTATCCACAATCAAGAAAGAATCATCATCTTGTTTTTTAGTGAGTAGTAATAAATCAGTGCACATGATAGCCCATAGCTGCAATAACAACATACATAGACAGGATAGAATTATTTCTCACTAAGTTATGATCTATTGTGATAACGATGCAAATACTGTTTTAACCTGAACACATATTTGTATGTGGAGAGATGATTAAGTACATATATGTATTTAATTACAGTGACAGAGAACAACACCTTGCTTTGACTTCAGATACAATTGACTAGTACCTGCAAACTAACTGTTCACTTAGACATGATGACTGGTTCATGTCAAGTCACTTCACACAAGCAAAAAATGAATGATGCACACCAACTACATGCTACACTACACTACATGTACACCAACCAGACATTGCACACATACACGCCAACCAGACATTTCACAGATGCATGCCAAACTGACATTTCACGAACTCATGCCAACCAGACATTAACCAGACATTGCACGCCAACCAGACATTGCGAGCCAACCAGACATTGCACGCCAACCAGACATTTCATGCATACACACCAACCAGAAAATTGCACACCAACCAGACATTGCACACCACCAGACATTGCACGAATACACACCAACCAGACAGAGCATGCATAGATGCCAACCAGACATTGCACACATACACATCAACCAGATATTGCACAGCAACCATATATTACACACCAACCAGATATTGCACACCAACCAGACATCGCACGCATGCACACAACCAGACATTGCACACCAACCAGACATTGCAGGCATACACACCAACCAGACATTGCACGCATGCATGCCAACCAGACAGTGCATGCATACACACAACCAGACATTACACACCAACCAGACATTGCAGGCATACACACTAACCAGACATTGCATGCATACACACCAACCAGACATTGCATGCATACACACAACCAGACATTGCACACCAACCAGACATTGCACGCATACACACCAACCAGACATTGCATGCATACACACAACCAGA